AATGTTTTTGCTGTATTCTTTGTGCCTTAAGTCACTGTAGTTTGAAAAATAACACTTTGGGATATATTTTTATATTTACTACCCGAGAATGATTTGTTTGCATACTGCATGTCCCTGCTCTGTACTTGCCTAACACATCTCTGTGAGGACAGATCTAATTCTTGAAAGTATTTGGTTGTACTTTGCCATCAGTTCTGTTCTCTCTAGCAGAACTTCTCCCATCTCTTCTTTTCCTCATGCCTCCATTCCTTCAATCTGACACAGCTTATGCCTGCAGGTCATGTCTACCCCATGCTACCTTAAGATTCCTCAACCACCTGCCAGTGGTTCAATCTTAAATTCTCAGTTATTCAAGTGAGTTGTAGAGAGAGACATATATGTTCTATCTGCTATGGTCCCTGAAGCATCATTGCAGCCATTCTGAATTCCACAGCTTCAGGCACAGAACTTGTCCCTGGGCAGCTGTTTGCCCTGGCAATTAGAGGCAAGTACATTGGTATCCCTGCCACATAGCAGATTTCCCAGGAATACAAGTATGTCATAACATCTTAAAATCGGTAACAGCATGTGACACTTGAAAACTTCACTTTCAGTCTTAATAAAATTCCACAAGAAAGGAGGCACATTTCATCTCAATATATTTGTAAAGCAGATTCAGTGAAGTCCAATAGCTGTTTATGACAGGTGGAGCGTAAAGACAGATTTGGAAGGTGGTGTTGGCTACTCGGTCCCAACATCATCTGTGGTTATCTGGTCCGGATGACTTCACGTATCCATTCTTTAAATTTGCAGAGGTTGGTGTAGAAGCCTGGAAATCCAGGTATGCCACATGGATTGCTTCCCCAGGACACAAGGCCCTGCAGGAGCCCATTGCAGATCAAAGGGCCTCCAGAGTCAAACTGTTGAGGGAGGAGAAGAGCAAGTTAGGGCTGGTAGAGAGGAGCATGGAGGGAGACACACATGGGAAGCCAAAGCACAAAGAGGCAAAGGCAGAGGGAGAGATCAGTGCAGAAACACACAGTGCAGGAGTGGAGGGCAGCAGTGAGAGCCGGAGTCAGAAGCACGGGAGACAGAGCCAGCAGACCACAGAGACACATGGGGTACAGGAGGCACAGGTGATGGGGAGACAAATTGCAACCCTGGTGAGATCCCAAGACAGTGAAAACACAGAGGCACAAGGGCCAGTATGGAGGGATCTGCCATGAAAAAGCCAAGCACTCAAACCATTGCTTGTAGGCAGGCATGGATAGTCTTGCCCCTCACACACCAACTTTCCCTCCTAGACCTTAGAAATTTCCCATGAGGAACTCCACCCCGCCTGCATCTCCTTTTCCAGTCATGGCTGAGTTTGAATTGGAGGGTGAGAGTGGTTGGGGATGCTTGGCCTCGGGAGTCATTGGAGTTAAGGATGGAGGTGTGCGAGGCAGTGGGGCTTGGGATCCTGAATGCAGTCATCCAGTCTGTTCTTACAGCTGTGTTCCTTCTCCCCGGACCCTCCAGTTGTACCTCCCAGGCATCTCTGCATCCCTCCTCACACCGTCATGACTCTGCGTCTCTCTGCAGGTTGCTTACTTCTCCCTGGCTATCCCTGCCTGTCTTTGTGGCTGCCTTACCCTGTGTGTCCTTGGTTACTTCTCACCCTTCCAGTTCCTTCTCTCTCTTTCTCCTTGCACCTGTGTCTCCCCATGGCCCTCTGAGTCTCCCTGATTCCTGCATGACCTTGTGCCCTTTGTGGGTTTTAAACCCCAGCTCCATGCTAAACCCCTGCCAACCCTCCCAGCCTCTTACTTGACAAGCATCCTTGCGGCCTTCACCAGCAGCACAGAATATACTCTCGTGGTAGAGTGTGTCAAGCACCAATCTGCAATAATTGTCCGAAAGCAGTGGAATAACTGCACAGTGCAGATCCAAAGGGAAGTATCCTAAAGGAAAGGACACAGGATCAGAAACACTCCTGTGCAGAGACACCACAGGGATCAGTGAACCCAGAGACCAGAAAAACAAAACTCACCATTCAGTAGCTGACCCCAGCCAGCGAGCAAGCACCTGGTTCCAGCTGTCGGACATTGGGACGCGATGGGGATGATGCGGATAGTGTCTGATTCCACAACTCGTGTGTTCAACTTGACGAGCATGATGTCATTAGCATGCTTAGATTTGTCATATTCTGGGTGTATCACAGACAAACTGGCCTTGATCATCTGGCTGCCTGGTTCATACCAATCGTGAAGTCCGTGGAGGCCCAGCCCAACGGTGTAGGATCTGAGGGCGATGGGATAGTCAGTACCATAGTAAGTACGTCCTATCTAGAAGCCCAAACTCCAGTACAGGCCAAATCCAAGCCTAGCCTCACCCCCACTCATGCTCAACCTCAGTCCATCCCCATTGCCGTTCCCGCCCTCCACCCTGCCCAGACCCATCCTGGTGCCAGCCTCATCCCCACTTTGACAGCATCCAAATTCCATCCCAATCCCCACCCCCAAACAGCCCCAGAACCTGATCATTAGGGGTGGGGCAGGAGAAACTTTGTGTAATGTGTTAATTGAGGGAGCCACTAATGTTGTGGTTCAGTATACTATTTTTAAATTCAAAATTAATGCAAGAAGTCCAAAATGTGTAACATATTAGAAATTGACGGGAAGACAGCATTTGAGGAGCGAGCACCTTGCCCTTGCCCCACACCCAGAGGATCCTATTTATTTCAAATGTAGATATTATGATCATCATGAATGTTTGCATTGTCTTAATTGCATTGTCTCTAATTTAAATTGCATTGTCTTAATGTTTAAAATAAGACATTAACATGTTTCTCCCAATATAAGCTTTTGCCTGGTCTCTCCTTATACCCTGCCCTGCAGCCGAGTGTATACTTCAATCCCCATCCACGTGGCTCTGTCCTCACCTGTCTCCCTCACCTTGCCCCAGGCTCCTTACACGTGGTGACAAGAGGTCCCTTGTCCACACCACCTGGCTCTTAGATCCTGAACCGAGATACAAGCCTGCCTCTCTCAAGCCACCTTCTTCTGTGAACTTTCATACTCAAAAGAACTTTCTTCTCCCAGTACTGTCATACTCATCAACCCCAGGGTCCTGGGTGGTTTCTCTTCCCACATGGGGGCTTCCTCAGACCCAGGAAAGAGATGTGAATGCTCCTCCAGCCTGGGGAAGAGGATCTTCCAGGCAGGCCTGCCAGTTAACTGTTGCTCCAGCCTTGGTCCAGACCTACTGTTTTAAAGTCTCAGGCCTGGCTAAGTCCAGCCTTTGGGGCTGGGGTTCACTCCCTGTCCCAGTCCCTCTGCAGTTTTGGAATCCCACCCTGACCAACACTTGGCCCTTTCTGCACAAAGGAGGAGTGAGCCCTGCCCCACACTGCAGTGCAATGTCAGACCCTAAGCCCTGCCTACAGTGGCATCCCAAAAGAAGCCATGCTCCGCCCCTCCCAGTCCAGCGCACTGCCCATCCCCACAGTCACCCCTACTGCATTTGCTCACGGTTTCCAGCAGTGTGCAGCTGACAGCACCCACTGTGGATGCACCAGAACTCCAGAGCAGTGTTGCTCATAATTGTGAAACAGTGCGGCTATCCAGGGGTGGGAGTGTCGAGTGCAAGGAAAGCCATCAGTGACGCGTTTCCTAATCAGGTGGAGCCGATTTGGGAAGTGATTGCCTGTTCCTTTGGGAGGAATTTCCGCTTCTGTGGGCAGAATGAGCACAGAGTGGATGCAGTGGGTAGGTTGACGGGATCCAGTAATGGATCTGGTAGTGGATCCAGTTGGGCTTGAGTCAGGTTACGGAAGGTCCAGGTTATATGAGAAAGGCTGAGGAGGGGAAAGGTCTGAGTGTCTGCCTCTGGGACTCAAGCAGGACAGATCCAAGGCCAGACACCTCCTCTGAGCCTGAAGCTTCACACTCTGCACCACCACCCCAGTGGCATAGACCCAGGGTCAGCACACAGGTGCCCTTTGTCAGGAGGATCATTTGTGCCAAGCAGAGAACAGAGGCAACCATGCCTGGGATTCTGTCTGCAGAACACGCAGAATGGACAACCAAGCACAGAGAACAGGACCTTGGGGAACACTTCTTACCCTGCACCCTAGCCCTCTGCAGGGCCACCTTCTCCAGGGGCTCAGGAGCTGTGACCTCCACAGGGAAGGAAGCAGCTGCCACAATTCTCTGCCCCCTGGGGCAGGTGGTCCATGCACAATGCTGTCCCTGTGCTCATTACAACTAACGTCTGGACACTCGTCTCTGGGCCAGAGTCTTGGAGGATGGACCTTTATACTGTACTATCTAACCTGCTTTCAGAGTACCGTTGAATGTGGGGAAATTGGGCACAGACACTAAGGACTTTTTGCCCAGGGAAGAAGTAGCAAGGCAGGGCTCAGAACCCAGTTGCTGTCTCTCTTCAAGCTATGTTTATGCCCTGGTGCCATGCAGACTCCCAGGAATCCTATGTGTGGGCACGATGACCCATTTTGGGTGCACACAGCCTAGCACACACGGAACACAGATACCTGTGGCTGTGTGGATGATGCATCCCAGGACACAGAGCCAGAGGACTTCTGCTGTTGTCCCCATGTCAGCACCTGCTGTGGAAGAGACCTGGTGACTCTGGGGCCTCCCCCACAATTCCAGAAGCAGCTAGAAAGGACCCTGTCCAGCCTGGACTCTGAGACCCTGGCTGAGGAACATTCACATAGGGCAGAATTTATCACCCTCTGCTTTGATATTATTTACCCATCATCTGAGGGGGATGGACCCAGGACACCCTCAGGCCTGCAGTGCCACAGAGTCATCCCTCTGCCTGCTGATGACTGGTGGCTGGTGACCTTTTCTGCTAAGCTCTGTTCCATGTACTGCAGGGTGTTTTACACCCAATGCAAGCTGCTGTCTCCCTCCCCAGTTGGGACAATCAAACGGCCCATTCTTTATCCACGACCTGGGAGACGACAGTGTGAGTTCTACCTGTGAGAACGCAGGAGGCAGGGAGATTGCGGATTGAGGGGCAGTTAGGGACAGAGACAGAGATGTCAAGACTGAGGTTGAACTGGAACAGGGAAGATGTGGTCAAGACACAGAAGTCTCAAGGTCACGAGCTGAAGGAGACTGAGGTGGAAATCCAGGTGCTCTCAGTGCAGTTTCAGTATCCTGTGCCAGGCATTGCACTAACATGAGACACATGGTGACTCACTATCACAGCCATTTGAGGTGTGAGGTCCTGATATTATCCACATTCCACGGAGGGTGCAGACACAGACAGGCTGAGTAACAAGTGGAGAGGGCACTAGAGTCTGTGTCTTAAAACCTCCCTGGTACTGGGCATGGTGGCACCACCTGTAATCCCAGTGCTCTGGAGGCAGGAGCATCGCAAAGCCCTCCCTGTACACTGAGTCAAAGCAATGGTCTAAGGCAGAGAGGGAGACACACACCCAGCAGGACAGAGACAAGAAAGAGGCAGGAACCCAAAGGGCAGGAAGCACAGAGCAAGCCTTGTGCTGGGCGAACGCAGGCTTGTTCACCTGGCTTCAGCTCCTGGGACTCACGACTCCAATGTCCTGTGTGGGGCTGTGATCTGTGGGGTCCTGACTCTCAGAGCTTTCTGAGGTCTTATAAGGATTGAGAAGGGTGCTGGCCTGCCCTGGGGCTGCTGGAACATTAGAGACCTAAGGCTGAAAGATTAGAGGCCTGGGCACAGTGCCTCTGCCTGTCCTGCTTCTAATCAGATCAGAGCACAGAGATCAGGGCTCTGGGACATTAGGAAGGAAAGGAGTGTGGGTTTGGGCCATGAAAGAATGTGAACCTCTGTCTGGTCTCCCAACCTCTCTCTCTCAATTCTGATTCCTCCTCTGAACTGCTCTTTGCTACTCTTAGCCTCTGTCTCATGGGCCTTCTGCTTTGGATTCCTTCCCTTTGCAGCTGTGCATTAAATTAAATGAAGCAAATGTACATGAATTCAGGACAATCTGTGTCTCTGTGTGTGGTCCTGGGGATTGACTCCAGCATCTTCTTGCTGAGCTCCAACCCAAAGCATCTTTTTGTAATTTTATTTTGAGGCAGAGTCACATGACTTCCTCAGGTTGCCCGTGCTGGGCTCCAACTTGAGATCCTCCTGCCTCAGCTTCCCAGAGCACTGGGCTTACAGGCATGCAGCACCAGAGCCAGTGTATTTTTCTGTCCTAGGCATGTACAAGGCCTGGTGTGGCATACCTTACCCTAATATCTGCCACACAAAATGCCAAATATTAGAACACCCCAGGCTGGTTTATACCTGCTTCAGGACATGAGCTAGTTTTCCTTTTGCCTGATGTCTCCCTGGGTCATTTTCTTTCTCCTCTAAAACTATGTGCAATTGTGCAGGGCTCCCAGTGGCAGCCATGTCTCTCACACCCGCCGACCCCTCCTCAGATCCATTTTACTCAACTCAGCCCCAGCTCACTGCAGAAGTCAAAGCAGATCAAGCTGTAAAGGATGTCACTTGGATCCCTCAGGCTGAGGGCTCAGGGACTTAACAGTGGCCCAGCCTGGCAGATTGATCAGAAGCCTCCATAGGCAGCTGCCCTTCTAACTCGCCTGCCATAAATCTGTTTGCACATCCCTAGCCTAGGCATTTGTAAGCCTGGCTCACAAAACTTTGGGAGACCCTGGTACTTTTTGGTGTATTGTTTAATGAAGGGAAGGTGAAAAGGTATAGCTGAGAGCCCAGTGATGAGGTCAAGTATATGGGGGAGGGTTCCCACACAGGCTGCAGCTGATATCGCCACAGAGCAGGGCTGGATCTTTTCTCTTCTGGGGACAACAAGTGTTTCAGAGTCCCCATTACCATCTGCAGCCCTGTCCTCCCTAGAGGATGGGGAAGGGCTGAGGTCCTCACCATGGCCCATCTTGCTATGCTCCATGAGAGTCTCCTCATCCTTCAAATATGCTCCTGTTGTCACTGCTCTGTGTCGGGACTTGCTTTAGAGATAAGGAGACAGCATGATATGACAGGCACCAGCCTTACCCGCTGACTGTGAGCAGATAAGGAAATTTTTTTCTTATTTTTCCCTGTAATATCTACTCTTTATGTTGGGATCCCATGGTCTAGTACATGTGTAGTTGAGGACCTTTATTATCATATGCTGCATTCATTAGGCTCCTATGGTCACATTTGCCTGCCGTTTTACCCTGGGCGTAAGCTCTGTTTTCCTGTCTGGACTCTTCCCTTTACAGGGCTGTTCCCTCCATGCCCTGGTACCTGCTGCAGTGCGTCCTGTGGTCATGATGGAAATAGAACTAAAACCCCAGCATGAATGTGTTGGCAAGGGCTTTAGTCAGTGACAGAATATTGTGAGGGCAATAGAGTTAGGCGCTGATAAACATCAAATGGGTCCTCTGACAAAGGAGAGTAGGAGGAGCCAGGGCAGAGGCTTCCCCTGGAGGAAGGCCAGCAGCTGCAGATCTGAAGATCTGGGTCATCCTCGCACATGGGGGTGGTACGTGCTGGGGTCCTGCTGATCCTGATCTCAATCACGGCTTCTTCAGTCAGGGTGAAGGAGCGTGACATGAAGTCATGTTGATTTGCATGGGATGATTGTCTTCTCTTAGGGTGGTCCCAGTCAGAGGCAGCTGTTAACCAAGGCAACCTTAAATTTAGGGGCCTGGAGATTTTCTCAGCATAGTTGACATCCTGGAAATTGTCTTATCCTCGTGTCCTAAGCTTTTAAGGGGTATGAGCTCAGCTGGGTAAATTTAAGGCTAAGAAAACTTGTTCTGTGAACTTGTTGAGAGCTGTGCCCTGACTGAGGGATGAGCCTCTAAGCACAGGTGAGAAGGGCATGACTCAGAGTGTCACAGAGCAAAGATCGAGCTTTGAATTCCTTTTTGGTATCTGTTGCACTTCTGGAGGCCCAAATGGGGAGTCATCCATTTTAGTATAAGCCATTTTGAAGTCCTAAACTGTCCCTGATGAAAACATGGATCATGCTTTTGATGAGTCACAGATTAAAGGCTGAGAGTTTTTTGTGTCCCCGGGCTCTAGGGTCTCCATATCTCTGTGTTTCTGCTTCCCAAGTATCTCCACAAGTCCCCTGTAGTATCAGCTTCTCTTTCTCTCTCTCTCCTTTTCTCTCTCTCTGTGAGTAATTTCCTGTGGCACATCTTGCATTTCACCGATATTCTTTTCAGCTTTGTCCATATGTCTTTTCACTTTCTGAGAGTTTAAATCAATGTTCTATAGTGACATTTTTAATTTTAAATGTAAGGTTATCTCCTTTATTTAGATTTTCTGTTCATTCCTGTAAGCATCTTGGGAATTCTAGGTGAAATTTGTTCACACTCCTCTAATTCTCTCTCTTTTTTTTCTTCTCTCACTCTTGTTTTACAAACTCCAATGCACAAAATACCACGCAACTGTATATGTATGATAAATCTATTATGTCCCTTTTCCATCATTCACAGGTACCCACTGTAGCTGTGCTTCATTCTAAGTACAACAGTTCCTCTCTTGACCATTTTGAGGCCCTAAATCTGCCAGTTATTCTGCTCACATGCGTCTCTGATGATTTTCCCACTCCTGCATCCACTCATTTTTGACTTTCTGGCAGTGTGAACACCTGTTTTGGGATTGTGAATGAGTATCTCCTGAAGACATGTGCTTCTTATTTTGTTCAGAAAGAGTGGCTGCCTTGGCCCTGTGGCATCGCAGGCCAGCTCCATGCAGGCATGAAAGGCTGTCCCGTGCTGCCTTCACTCCAGCCCCAGGCTCCTCTTCCCAGTGGCAGCAGCAGCTCCCTGGACGGATGTACTGTCCTGTCTGATCTCCCTCCTGTTTTGAGCTTTTGACTTTTAGGCTCCTGCAACTTTCCCTTGTCATCATGTTGTATGATCTAAAACCTACACTGCATGTTCTTCATTCAGGCCACAGACCTCAGACTCAGGGATATTGGGTTAATTTAAAGACTTGGAATCCCAGGTTGACAGCCTCAGGCTTTAGGCTGCTGATGCCCCAGTTTGGGCTCCAGACTGCAGCCTCAGAAAATGCTCCCCAGAGGCATGCTGTAGGGCACATTTGGAAAACTTAACACTAAAGGAGAGACTGGAGGAGGCTCCTGGGGTCTACATGATGAGGTACAAACACCCTCAGAGTGATAACAAAGGTCTGCACATGCCTTCATCTTGATGTCACCTTCTCCTGTTGCAGAGATGTGGAGATTGTTTACCATAAAATGTATCTGTATTGGTTGGTTGTACATTTATATATATAGAAGTGATGTGGATATGTTAATACTGTTATTTCAATCTTTTATAGTCTCATTCAGTTAAAAATTGTCATAACATACATACTACAGTACTTACTACCAGTGATGTTTATTATGTTCATGTGGTAAAATGTGGTAAAACCATTGTCATTATCCATTTCACGACAATTTAGTCACCCATAAAGGAAACCACATTCAGATCAGCAGTTGCATCCCATTCTCCCCTCATCCCAGTGCCAGGAAATCACGAATCTGCTGTCCTCATGGAGTTGCCTGTTTTGCATAGTTCATATTGATGGAATCTAGAACATGTTGCCTTTCATAGCTGACTTCTTTCACTTAACATCATATTTTCTTGGTCACTGATCCATGTTCCGTGTTTCATTTCTTTTTATGAATGATCCTCAATATTCCATTGCACAATGATGCCACAATTATTGATCTCATTTAATGGTTTTGCCTGCGGGGTGATTTCAGTGTTACTATGAAAGAGACTGTCATGAACATTACATGCATATTTTCCATGTAGGCTAAGCCTTATAGCACATACATCATGTATATGGCATATAACTTAGTGTTTTTTCACATATACTCAGGAGTGTGATTTCTGGCCAATGGAGACCCAGATTGTCATTATTCCTACCTCAGGTCTTGAATGACTCACCCTAAGTTGCATCCTAAATGTCTCCATGCCTTCCCTCTGTTTCTTCA